CTGGTCATTCCAGTCTCCCTTGTATTTGCCGGCTATGCTATCCGCCTAGTTCGTCCCACTCTCTACTAGGAACTCTGTCGGTGTAAAGAGAGGGAAAACGTTGCCGACCAGAAGCAAACGACGTAAGAACGGTCCGCGATGACCGGCACTTATTTGTAATCGGAAAGTCAATGTACTAAAACTATGCTTCCAGAGATAGCTGTTTTGTCGCAGCCACCCATCTGTTGCGTGAGATAGGGTTTTATTGCCACTCCCTGCCCTCCAAAATCTTTAAATTAAGTTGCTTTGCAATAAGAGTTTTCTCCCAATATTATTATGAGGATTTTGTTCAGCCCTCCCCCCCGCCCTGGAAATCTGGCCTGTGGCTCTGTCCGAATAGAGTAGTATTGTTGTATCGGGCTCTGAGCGGCGGCACCTTCACGTTTCTAATGCATTTCCTGTGATTTTCGTCTCCTCCCCTCTACAGGTTCTCCTCTATACCCTCATGCTTGCCGATCGGTACGGAGATCAACAAAACACCGCCAACGATGTTGGTAACTGTGGCTGGTTGGTCTACCTGAGAGAACCCGCCGACAGACAAGGCCGAACCATCGTAAGGCCCTCGGCTCCCAGTTTTCGTGGTCTCATCCAGACCCGCAATCGACTGGCTGAAGCCATACAGCAGGTCGTATCGCTAGAAAAACTTCGATCGTCCACATGGAGGCCACCGCTACCCCCCAATATTGGCCAGATGAGGATTTGTTCCACATGTCCACAACAGTTGGCCTGTGGTCTATTCCTGGACAAGTTAGTTCAACTGTTTTCTTTCAGTTTATTCACCACCGACTGTCGAAATTTCAGTTGACGCATAAATGTTTCCTTGATTGGACATTAGGATCAGTAATAATCCGGTAAAATGTGATTAAATCCGAAAGGGAACTCTTCGTTACTGTCAACAATGGTTCACGTCGTACTATCGGTGCTCTTCTTAGTGGGTGCAATTAACCCAAGCCTTTATAATTTATGCCGATCGCCCCGTCGCTTAAGCCGTTCGATCGGATTATCTAAGGAAAGCGGATTCGCAAGATCCTAATGTTTT